AGAATAAAATTTCAAGACGTGGCTTTGGACATTTTTGGAGACCCAATAGCTTCAAGTAGCGCCACTGCAAGTCTGCTACCCTTTTGCATGACATATTTGTGCTTTTTAAGCTCAAGAGAGTGACCGAGGGCTGTGGAGCAGCAGCTTCATGTCTGCCTCTCATCCATCCCTGCCAGAATAGGGTGGCTGTGTGCATCGTCCCAGGCTCAGGTTACCTATTGATAGTAAGTCACATTTACCACCCACCCCCATAGCGCCCAGGGATGCAGAGTGTATGTTTTTTAATACGTTTTAGACCGAGATGACTTGACGAGGGTACCGTGAGCGAGAAAAGGTTGAGAAATGCTGCTCTACAGAACTGATCGAAACGTAACCATGTTAATTGGTAAAATATGACCATGCATTAAGTCAATAACAGTTCAAACTATTGCTAAAAATGCCTCAAAGATGTTTTCCAAGGACATAAAAGTACCCACAATTGTAGAATGACCCATATAAGTTATGGTTACAGCAAAAGTGCATTTCTCACATGCTTCTGCTGCTGAACACATTCTACTTCAGCAACATAGCCAGGTGACAAGAGGAGCTGACTTCATTTGCTTACAGCCAGCAACAACAACATGAACAAAAAAATGAAAAAAAAAGACATACCATCTGTTAGCAAAGGCTTTCTTTATGACCCACTTCCCCTTCCATTCAAAATGCAGTATCCTCTGCCTGTCTCTAGATCAAAGATGCACTCTCATCGCTCTCCATGAAGGAACCCTAGTCTCTGAATCCATCGGCTGACGGTTGTGTTACTGCAACCCCTACGCACTAACAATTCGGAAGCCTAATTTAACTACGCTTCCCTGTACCACTACACAGAGGCTAAACATAGCCAGAAGACTCCAGCCGCTCTGACAACCAGCTGCGAACGGAACCGGTTTGAAGTTGAGCAAAGTAAACAAGGCAGGCCACCAAAAAGCTTGTAGTCAGCAACTAATTGCACTGAATTTGGCTTGCTATGAAAAAGCAGGCAAAGCAATTACACAATGGAAGCAGACTTGGAGGCAACGTAGCTTGTTTCGTAAGTAATAAGCACAACAATTGTTAGAGTAATAAGGAAAGAGACATTTTATAAAAAAAAGTGTTTTATATTCCATCACGGACCTTCGCCGTCTGGCGCCTAGGAGAGCAGTTCAGAAAACTCGAGAAACAGCGAGAATAAAAAAGGTGGAGAGAAATAGAAAGTGAAAATATAGAGCAACTCTCAGGGGAGGAGTAGGATCATTATTTGCCGAGCGCGCAAGCAAACTAAAAACGGCGTTGAGGAAATACAGCAAGTTTTGTGGGAGAAAGAGAGCGGCGGCAGTTCGCTTCAACTCTGTAACGGCTCTCAACAAGGTTATAGGAGCAATCCTTCATGAAATGGTACTTACAACCTATATGCAGCGGGATGTAATAAGATAAGCCACAAGGCCTTGGCTTATAGAGTGCACAATGCCCACGGCAATGCGCTTCAAAACAATGGACCCCTTAACGGGTTTCAGGAAATAACAAGGCAATGGGTTTGGGGATAATGTGAGCCTTTTACCAATTTAAACTAAATAGTACTTGCCTTATACAGATATATTGAAGTACCATACAGTATGAGGTGTACACTCTTTACAGGGCATCCTCCACTTCTGTGCTGTGACAGGACAGTTTCCCTCAGGGATTAATACTCTGTCTGTCACTCTGTCTATCTATTGATCTATCTATCTTTAATTTTCTAGAAAACACTGGCTTTTTTGTAGTAATTCTCTTGCCATAGTAGGTCATGGAGGCCCATGATAAAGCAGTCTCAAAGACCCCTCTCTGCTCTCTTAAAGTCCAGAGTGCAGGCCACTCTGGAACAAAAACAGGGCTTGATTTAGGACTGCTGGTAGCTGCTTTAATACAGAGACCAGGCCTCAATCTAGCTGATTTACAGCAAGGCCATGTCCAGACTGTAAATGGTGCTTAAACATTAAGACAGTAACAGGAATAAGAGAGATGGAGGGCAATGGTGTTCAAGACTCAGCTGTGCAGTGGCTATTTAAAACCTTTATCAGGGTGCTTTCAAAAGCCAAATTAGATGGAAACTAATTCTAGTTAGTCTATTGAGTGTATATACCATATATCATTAGAAGAAGATTACTGTGAAAAAGATCAGAATCAAGTTACAGATAAATAATACCTGCCCTGAAATTAACCCAATACAAACGCATTGAGAGAAATATGGAGCATCACGGTAAAGAGCAGTCTACTTCAGTAAGGCTGACTCGTATGTCTCAGCTACACCACAGTAGTTATCATATCTAGTATTACTATTTGAACTTCCACAGTGACACTGTACAGCTAATTCTCATTACAATATAGTGATGGTAGTTTTCTGTCCAAATAAAAGTTCATAGAATTTAAAAGTCAGATTGGCTCCATCTTCCTTGACTGTCCTCTGGAAACACTTCCTTTGTGCTGTGACTGGCTTTGTTCTGAAGTTGTATGTGTTTTCTGTATTTGCAGTGTGTTTGTATAATGTACCACTGGTGATGACATAATGATGAAATGACATTTGTTTTTTTTTTCAGCACATTGGGCTATATATATATATATATATATATATATATATATATATATATATATATAAATATATATTGGCTATATGCTACATTTCCAAAAAATAAAGAAAATAAAATGTCAAACGAGGAAGCAAAATCAACAGGTTAATCCTTCCAAGGAGGAGGTGCACATATTTAAATAATAATAATAATAATAAAAATAATGTGTAAAAAAATATTTTTTTTTTATTAATTTTTAATAAAATGTTTTAAATAATAATGTAACATTATTAAACATTGTTGCAGGTGTGTGTGTGTGTGTGTATAAATAATAATGAATATTTAAAGGATGTGAGTTGATTAAAAGATGCAAGTCACTTTTACAAAAAGACAGAGCAAGACTGAAATATTGATTTTGGCTCGCTTATTCACAATGACACTGTAGGTCGGATTTATAATCTTTTGAAATCTTCCCATAATGACCCTCTTCCATAGCAAATTAAAGTCGAGGCCCGAAATGAAAAAAGAAGAATGAAAGCCAAAAAGCTGTTCTTCATTCCTCATAAGCAGTAAATAGATTGAGATGCTTCGTCAGAGAAGATGGTTTAAAACAGGTGCGGGGGTTCTTACGAAGGATGACTCATTTCCCTATCTTATCATCAGATGATATATGGAGACACCCCCCCCTCCCTCTCTCTCTCACTCATGCGCACACTCGCATCGCAGTTGATATGTGCAGTATGCCTTAGGGAGAAGGACCAACATTTATCATGATGGGAGAATATTTGAAGAAATGCAATTTATTCCTGATGATGGGAAAGCGGTTTGCGGCTGAGAGAGAGAGAGAGAGAGAGAGAGAGAGGCATCAGCAGTGAACTGCCACAATCAGCACACTCAGCTAAACCCTGATGCTCTTATTAGGCTACCTTACTGAGAGAGGTAACTGTATTGTAAATATATGTATATATATATATATATATATATATATATATATATATATATATATATATAGTACAAATGAGCGAAGCACCCATTATTTATTTAATTTTAAAGTCAGAACAAAAAGTAGAAAACATATTTTTAACAGAAGGAGTTTTCCAAAGAAATCTGCAAGAAAATTTTTCACACCTTCAAACTTCAGTCTTAGAAATTTGTTGCATTTTCTGCTTCTCACAATCCAAGTAACAATCCAGAGGTCTGGCCTCTAGGGTGGACTGGCTTCTTGGTTTGATTTGCATATTTTCCCTCTTTTACCTTGTTTTTCCCCTCCCTCTGAAAGATGAAAGCTTTAAGTACTGTTTACCACACTGGTTCCCAATCTCAGTCCTGGTGACCCCATGCTCTGCACTTTTTTGTGTTTTCCCTAATTTACACACCTGACCAAGACCATGAGGGCTTTCACGTTTGTTAGAAGTCCCATTTTCTCTGTATCTTTTAATAGTTTTTGGACCTCAAGTTTTGGAATTCCTTTTTTTTTTACTTATTTTCCTTTGACTTTCTTTTTCATTTTGCACGAGGATTAGCTGATACATAATCTCCTCAGAAATATCTCAAGAAAAGTGAATGTCATCCATTTTGACTGAAATTTAACTGGAACAAATGAAGGCTTTTGACCTCTACAAGTTTGTAGACCCTTTCTTCTGAAGTGCTGTAGTAGAATAGAGTAACAACCTCTACTCTTCTGAAGTCTTTACACTAGATGTTGGAACATTGCTGTGAGGATCTGATTGCATTCAGCTACTAGAGCATTAGTAAGTTCAGGTATTGATGTTGGATGATTAGTTCTGGATCACAAACTCCAAAGGTATTGGATGGAAGTCCATCACTCCAGAGAACACAGTTCCACTGCTGCCCAATGATCAGAGGCTTTACACCCCTCAAGTCGTGTTAACAGTGACACCATTAATGGTAATGTAATAAGATTTTGGTCCATTTGTATTGGTCCACTCATCACGACATGTTCACATGATGGAAAGGCTAGCTGCCGTTTTCAAATGGTGCCGAAAAAACAAAAAAGATGTGATATCTTTGAGGTTTTGATATAATGATATGTGTTCTACATGTGCCCACTGACTGACTGGTGGGCATATATTAATGCTTTGGCAACAGCATAGCTTGGTACAGTCACGCAAATAAAGCTTCTTTAAATTTAATTTAGAAGCTTGTAGAAAAAGACAGATAGAAAGAGAGTAAGAGAAAAAGAGCAAGAAAGAGTGAAAGAGAGAGCTCTTTCACCACTGACTAAAAACAAGCCCACTAATGAAACCAAAGAAACAAACCCGAGCCATTAACACGAATGTAAACAAGTCTGCTTTACTTATGAATGATGAATGAGCATAATGGCTTTTCTTTTTCATTTCACAACACCATGTTATAATGTGAGTGGTTTACTTTCACGGCCAGCAAGCATGTTGAAAGACTAAAAGAGTGAAAGAGAGAGAGAGAGGGGTTGGTGGCGTTCTAAGCAGCAATCTTGCTGGGCTGCTTTAAGCTGAATCCTCCTCCAGTGAAGCGCGGTCCGTCAGCACGCTGAGGCAGGATGACGGGCTGTCCTGCCTGGGTCAGACTCCTCTCCTTCTCCCTGAAAAACAATGGAGGACAGAGTTAGAAGGTGCAGGGCAGAGAAATATAAACACACACCACCCTACACATCGCTCCTCCTGGGGGAGGGTCTCTACTGAGCTCTGAATTCAAACCAGAGAAAGACAACTCTCAGAAGTGAGCTTTGAAGCTAACCTTCCACCATGAGTTAGCAATGGGTTTCTTACAGTAGGCACACAGGGCAGAAATGAAAATACATGTAGTAAAATAAAGCTTGGTTGTAGACGTATGGGTATCGCATGTTGGCACTTTGAGCCATGCTTTAAGCAGTAAGTAACTGTGTTGCAGGAAGTGACAGCTGTACAGTATCCAGGATCACACATTATGTTTTGTTACTAAAAGTACTTCAAAGATAAAGCAAGAAGCCAAAAAATTAATTCTAAGAATAAGTTTTCTCTCATTGGCTGAGGGAGTGGGGGGTTAGGCAGCTTCTTACAGGCCAATTTTTGTCTAAACAATTATTACCTTTCATGAAATGAATATCAGAGCCTCCTTATAAAATACATGCTATAAAACATAGTACAGATTAAACATTCACAATCTGCTTTTTTGACACAATTACAAATTTCTGAGCTTGTCTCAATTAATTACAAGTAAGAAATAACTAGCATACTCATGTGCATCATTTTATATTTACAGTACTGTGCAAAACAGCCATAAGTACAAGCTTTCAGGAGGATATTTCTGAGGCGATTAGAGATAATATAACACACTTGCATAAGGATTTTCCAAACCAGAGCTCATAAAAATGATTAAAAGTTATAGAGAAAATGGGACTCCTAACAGCCGTGCAAGACCTGGTAGACGACCAGAACTGTCCCCATCAGATAAACAGAACTTAAAGCTTTCATCTTTGAGAGAGAGGAGAAAATCAAGCTCCACTCTTACTTCAGATCTGAAAAAATCCACAGGTGTTTCTGTCCATCCTTCCACTGTGAGAAGACAACTCAACACTATGAGTCTGAAAGGATGTGTAGCTGTTAAGAAGCCATTACTGAGAAAAGAAATAGACAAACTTTGCACCAAAGCATGAAAAGACATCTGAGATGTGGAGTACGGCTTTATGGACTGATGAGTCTAAATTTGTAATAGGGATTACTTGGATTGTGAGAAGTGAAAGAGATGTTCTGAGAGACCTTTGTAGGTGTAGAAAAATCCATGCAGATTTCGATGAATAACTGAAAGCAAGTCTTTGGAAAAGAATGGAAGCTGCATTAAAGACAAAGTGTGGACACAATAAATACAGAATAATTTGCTATTATATTCAGTTGCTGAGGCTTCCTGTTAAACACATTTTCTGCTCTTTGATGGTTGTTTTGAGTGGTGATTAAATAAATGAAGGTGGTCTCTGATGTTTGCTCAGTACTGATATATGCATTATCACTGAAATCTTGTCGGAGGCATGCACGCTTATTTTAACAGATAACTAACACAACATCAACAGCAGGCATACCGAATAGAGCCAGTAATATCCATTGAACAGAAAAGGCTTGGCTGAATAGCACTCCCATCATTCTCATTTTGCTTTGTTTGCTTGGTTGTTTGTGTGTTTATCTTGGTTTAGAGTCCCTTGGTGTCAGCCATGTGTTAATGCGGCCATGATCCAAACAAATATCGGTAAACACGATCGCCGAGGCTGACACACTCACACACGTACCCTCTCTCTCCTTCTGCCTCGCTGCTTCGCAGACATATACACGTGCACACACACACACAAACACACATCTCCCAGCAGAGAACATCTGTTGCCACCCTGATCTCTTTCAACTGTTCTCTTGCGATCGCAAAGCCCTCATCTTTCATTCAGTACACCGCTAGTGCAGGACCTCTCGGCCACACACACACACAAACACACCCACCTCCACACACCATTGTGCACACCACAATGCTTCCCCCCCCTCGATGTTACAAACTTCTTTCTCTCCCTCTCCATCTTAATTCCTCTCTCGCTCACTGTGTTTGTCCAATATCAAACGCCGTCAATTAAAATTCACTGGCTGTGTAATGCGATTTCGCATGGGAAACGATGAAGACATTTGGCAACAAGCTTGAAACGCACACACGCATGCTTCATCCACCTTTGTTTTTCTCTATCCCCAAACAAAAAACCCAGCTAAATTAATATTATGCGGAAAGGGCTTCAAATATGCTTTCTCTTTGGACGGAACCGCAGACATCTGTGAAATGCGCTTTGATCGGAACGCCGTTCGCTTGACTTGTGGAATCAGCATCATCTGCGGCTAATGATTTCTGACAATCGCAGAATCAAACCTTATAATTACATTTCCAGTGTTCACCAGCATGATAGGACGTTTGGAATAATTTGGCAAGAAGTGGTGGTGGTGTGTGTGTGGTGGGGGGGTTAGTTTGGTGTCTCTGCTTCCAGGAGGACGATGAGCTGGAGAGGAGAGGTTAGGATGGTGCCATCTCCGACCACTTTTGCCAGGTTTGTAAGTGGCAGAGACAGCCGTAATAATCGCAATGAGACCTGGAGCGGTAATGACAACAACATCAAAAACAACATGAGAAACAACAAAAATAACAGCTGCAGCAAAATAGCAAAAACTGGCACCAGAAGCAGGACAAATCCACATCTGCCAGCAAAAGTGCCAGCAATGACAGCACTTGACAGTATTAGCCGTAATACAGCAACTCCAGCTCCAGCAACAATATAAGAAACAACAGCAACACCATCACCACTAGCAGAGGAGCTCAGGTTAAAGTAAAAGTATTGCTTCTTCTGTGAAATGATTAAACACCAAAGAGGAACTAAATGCTAATGATGAAAATGCAACTGCTTAATAAGTAAACTACTTTACTCATTTACTCAGGCAAGTAAAAATCCATCAGAATGTTACTTAAGAACATGTAACTGGGCAAATGTAACCAACAGCCATCATCACTAGTAACAACACCAACAACAACTTTGCCACAAGAAACAACACAATAATCAAAACTAAAGCCAACAGTAGCAACAGCTCAAACAAAACCATTGCCACCAGTAACAAAACCAACTCCACCATCACCACCACCAGTAACACCAACTCCAGGAACACCAGTAGAACTAGCAACAACTCTGAAACATCAGAAACAAAACCAAGGACACAACTGTCACTAGTAACACCAACTCCAATAACACCATCACCACCAGGAAAATCAACTCAAAGTAACATCAATTCCAACAATTTCATCGCCACCACTAACACTAACTCTGCAATCACCATCACCAACTCCAATCACTAGTAACTCCAACACCAATAGAAACATCTCCATCAGTAAAACCAACATCATTACCACCAGTTAAAGCACTTCAAACAACACTATTACACAAGTACAATCAATTCTAACATCATCACCACCAGTAACACCAAATCCAAAAACACCATCACCACCAGTAACACCAACTCCAAAAACACCATCACCATCAACACTTACTCCGAAAACACCATCACCACCAGTAACACTAACTCCAAAAACACCATCACAACCATCAACACTTACTCCAAAAACACCATCACCACCAGTAACACTAACTCCAAAAACACCATCACAACCATCAACACTTACTCCAAAAACACCATCACCACCAGTAACACTAACTCCAAAAACACCATCGCCACCAGTACCACTAACTCCAAAAACACCATTGCCACCAGTAACGCTAACTCCAAAAACACATTAACCACCAGTACCACTAACTCCAAAAACACCATCACCACCAGTACCACTAACTCCAAAAACACCATCACCACCAATAACACCAACTCCAAAACTATCATCACCACCAGTACCACTAACTCCAAAAACACCATCACCACCAGTACCACTAACTCCAAAAACACCATCACCACCAATAACACCAACTCCAAAACTATCATCACCACCAGTACCACTAACTCCAAAAACACCATCACCACCAGTACCACTAACTCCAAAAACACCATCACCACCAGTAACACCAACTCCAAAAACTATCATCACCACCAGTACCACTAACTCCAAAAACACCATCACCACCAGTAACACCAACTCCAAAACTATCATCACCACCAGTACCACTAACTCCAAAAACACCATCACCACCAGTAACACTAACTCCAAAAACACCATCACCACCAGTACCACTAACTCCAAAAACACCATCACCACCAGTAACACTAACTCCAAAAACACCATCACCACCAGTAACACTAACTCCAAAAACATCCACACTCTAAGATCCACTATCCAGTCCCTTAACTCAGAAGTTTCCAATTCAAGCCTCAGGAACCCTAGATTTTAGTCTCCTTCACTCAGGTGTTTCACTCTAGGGATAAGGAATGCTGATTACCTGGCTCAGGTGTTTTAGATCCCTGAAAGGGGCAAATTTATGGACAGGCTAGGTGTCCCCAGGCTTCAAAACCTCTGCCTTAAAAAACACTGTCACCACTGACACAGCTTGGAGAATTAACTACCACAGTCCAATATCTTCTCTGCGCCTCGACCTGCGCTTCGCCTCAAATTAATCTTAGTCAAATTTCATTCATTTAGTCTTCATTCATTAATTACATGGCTAATTCATAGGGCAAAATTAATCTGCACGTTGATGAGGGTTTGATAATAGCTAGAGAGGCAACGGCTCTACATTAACAGGCAGAACACTGCTGTATCAGATGCTATTATGGAGAGAGTAATGAAGTTATGCGTGAAGTTGTTTATTTAACACATCCATATGCTGGCGGATGTGATAAAGACTAGGATATAGGCCTAGCCACTTCAGTGGCTCCACTTCAGAGGAGAATGTACATGCTTTCGAATATTCATACAGTGGCACACAAAAGTTTGGCCACCCCGGTCAAAATTTCTGTAACTGAGAATAGTTAAGCGTTTAAACGATGACCTGATTTCCAAAAGGCATAAAGTCAAACATGAAACATTTCTTTAATATTTTAAGCTAGATTACTTTTACAGTTTCAAAATAACAAAATGAGAAAAAACGGC